GATGTAGAGTGTGTATTGATATAAGAATATAAGAAATCGGTTGACGTTGAGGATGATATATTATTATTTTCATTTATCAAAATATGTTCAATCGTTGGAGTCCACTATATCTTCCCGCTAGTCCTTTCAAGCAAATACGCATGCAAGCCGGGCACATTTATACATCAATTTAGTGCTATTAATATTGTTGCGACACACGTATTTTAGGGCGTATTGTCTTTTTGCACAGACTTTTTTAACAACAGTTCCGTCGTAAGAGAGGCCTTATTGATGCAATTGCTTGATTGGCAAACGGTTTTATTTAACTCGGCTCTTACCCACACACGTACGGGAGAACGTCTGCACATATGCAAACATTCTTGTTTCAATAAGGGCCTTGCTAATATTTTGTCATAAGAGAATACACGCTGGAGACAATCTTTTGTGCGCTGCACGTTCGTATTTATTCGCGTTACGTCTATAGACTGCAACTCCAAGTCTGTTGACAACAACACCAAACTACGTTCACACCGCTCAATTGATAGCTTGTTGCAAAAAAGTCGCTTGTTCCATGAACATCCGCATAATCATATGAAGTAGAAGATATTAAAATAGCAAACATACAAAGTAAACATATTGTTAATGAAAGTATGATGGCGACATCAATTTATGATTCGTCGTTCTTCTGGTCCGTTGACTTCCATTCTTTTGTTCTGACCTTTTTTAAAAGCTAGTTGTGGTACAAAAGCGCACAGGATATCTACTACGTCTATTTATTGTCAACGAAAATGTGTATTCAATACATTTACCGGAGTAGTTGTCAGGCATATGAGGATAGTACGTTATTGTTCGGTAAGAACGTGAAGTTTTTGCTATGATCGGTAAAGGGACTTTAGAAACGTATTTTGACGAGTCGCTTTGTAGTTAGACATTCATATTTGTTCATCTAGGCCAGGAATTTCTAACGACGAAAAATTCATTACTTGTGTGCAGAGGCGCTCGTGCATTAGTCAATTTTCTGAACGGCTTACCTAATAATAAACCCCGTCGCGTATAAATCATGCACTACGATTTATACATAACGTCGTATGTAAGTCCCGTCACCGTAGAACTTTGCTTATCTCACTCAATCAACAAATTTTAATAAACACATTTGTGAGTCATGTAATATAAACAACTGTAATAACACCTTGTGATTACTATCAAGCGTAAATACTAATACATTTACTTTTTTATTAGTACCCTATTTTCATGTTACACATTGAGATGATCAAACAACATATTGTTGTATCGAGTGGTCGACAGATATGGTAAGAACCATTAAAATGTTATTATTACGTTATTATTATCTGTTTATAAGATAGACCCTTCATCAATTTTGGGGTGCTTTGACGGGATAATCAACAAATTCAATATACGATACGCAAACTCTCCTTTTATTATGCGTGGTCTTTGTCATATAATATATCTAATTACCATACATAATAATATCTAATATTTTATACACGTAAGTCACCACCTCGATCATGATACCGAATACTTGTACAATACAATGCATTGATAAATAATACAGAATGAATAAGTAAATTTCAAATAAATCCACGAACCCAATTATGATGGGGACATGAACCTCGGCTACATAATTATATATCTCCACTAATATAATTCAAAAATGTTCATTTTTTGTTTCAAAATAATATTATAATGTCCGATTTCATTACTCATCTATCGATCCAACTTTACACTCCGCCCTTCAACTTTCCACCTTTTGCAGAGGGTTTTCTCGCCTTGTCCTTTCCGATAATCCCGCTACTTTTCCTAGTGGGTACCTTTGCACTACTGCTACTCGTCTTGCTCCCTCCAACTGGGCTAGTCTTACTTTTGTCTTTCTTCCCCTTTGATGTCTCGTCTACTTTATCAAGCTTCTTCTCTGTTGGTGTACTTTTTCTTATGTTCTTGGGACATCCTTCTTCGTCCAACAGATGTGCCTTCCATCCAGCGTCTGTAGCTGGTCGGACCACCGTTTTACATAGTGGGCAACGAACGATTTGAGGCGGAATGAGCATACAGGTCTGTTTGGCTATGTGCTCAAGATAACTGTCTGCCGGAATTACCTCCCGACATCGCGGACATTGTTTTACAAATTTGGATTTGTCACAGTCTGTGAGCATGTGATCGTCAAGAGTTGATATTTCAAGGATCTATCGAGAAGAAGAAAAGATTAGCAATCAGTAACCAATAATGTTTTCCGTAATGAAATCTATTGATATTGAACACTTATACGTACGATATTACAGAGTGGACACTTTGTAAGAACTGGACAGTCATTCCAATAGTGCGTCATCAAGTTCTCTTCAGTAAAATCATCGTTCTGTTCATCACAGAATATACAGAATCTAAAGAGAAAAAAATAACAGTTAAAACGTTAGTTTACTATTCACATTCCCTGCACGTTTAAACACTACAGTTTCATCATGCAGCTATTCATACCCATCAGCTTTAACCTCTTCTGCATCTTCCGATGCCTTCGATGTAGAATCGCCGCCTCTGCTATTTGCTGTAAAAAATAAATAAAAGTTGTACAATCAATACATGTTCATATATTAAAAGACCTTGCTCACTGTCTACAAAACAAATAATACATACTCGTCTTTGTTGAAGACCTGGACGATGACTTTTCTCCTGCAGACCCACGACGTGATGGAGTTTTAGACGCAGTACCACGAGCACTCACGCTTGCTTCTCTAGACTTGGAGCTAGCTTTTGGCTTGACAGTGCTCTTACTACTACTGCTATCAATTTTCTTCTTCCCAACCGTCTTTTTTACAGTGGGCGCACTCTTGGCGTTCTTAACAGTCTTGGCACTAGAAGATTTCTTCTCCGGTGTAACATTTTCGACTTCAACTTTTGGTTCGACTGGTACGCTTTCCACAGCGACTGGCAATGCTTCGTCTGCATGTTCCTGTCTGAGTAATTTCGTGCTGTTTGCCAAGTATGCATCATAATCGTCTTGGACAAAGTGGTTTACATTGTTTACCATGGCACGAGCTTCCATTAGTTGCTGCTGTAACCGAGATACAGTGCCACGTTTGGCAAGCGGCTTTTCGAGTAGGGCTTCGTCCAACTCAAACATTGTTGGTGGCGCTCTTTGTGCTTGTCGCGGTCTACGCCGGCGATTGGGTCCTTGTTCTTCGACTAGTTTCCATATGGTTTCTAATAACAATGGCTTTACTTCGTCGAGGTATTTTTCAACATTCTCTTTCTCAGTGTATCTGCATACGAGAGCAGCGAGTTTCGTGGCAGCGTCTCGTACGTCGCCATTACTGTGATTCAAATAAGAAACCGCTACTTCCATAACGCCTTCCAAACTAATAGCGGAATCCTTATCAAACTTTCCTTTTGCAACTAGAGCAATGCCAAATTCGTCCACCAATCGCATGACTAATTCAATTTTAGCCTTGGCTTGTTTCGGAGGCTGTGTCTGAGTAAGAGCCGGCTTCAATACATGTGACATAAGCATTTGATTGGGAGTTCGGTAGTTTGTGCAGAGCATTACGAACAAGTCTGATGCAGCTTGCTTGAGTCGAGGATTACCATCTGCGATTTTTGCAAAGAGTTTCGGATATGTTTGTTCTACTGTTTTGTACGTAGCCGAGTTTGGTGTCTTGTGGAGGACACAGAACTTTGTTATTGCATCCCAAAGTTTGATTGACTGAAGAATTAATTTTTCACGAGTATCGCTTAATCCTTCCTCCATTACTTGTAAGGTAGCTCTTATAAGAGCCATCTAAAAGTTGATTAAAACACTATTAGAATTAATCAAAAAAATTTTTTGTTTTTTAATGTAAACGGATTTCAACATTACCTTGTCAATCTTTTCGTCAATTGTAAGTCCAACTCCTTTCTCGATATCGATCAATCGAGTAACCTCAAAAAGTGCAGACTCGCGAAGCTTGAACTTTTTCGAAAGCAGGCAAGCAATAACTCTATCCCCAAAGACATCGATCGACCAAGCGAAAGCCGACTTGGCCAAATCAGACAACTCTTCCGGTTCGTTATCCACTAGTTCATCTTCAAACGGCAAGGGCATAACGGGAGGTTTGACCTTTTCCAATGCCGGAAGAGGCCGCTCATCCTCGACTGCTGTCCAGGAATGAGTCTTTTCAGATGACACTGGACTAACTTGAGCGCTTGAATTTGCAGACGTACCAAAAGTATAGTCGAGATCATGATGTTTGTTTATCATGCTGGCATGACGGTTGGAATTTGATGCATTGCTACTGGTACGACTTTTGGAGAGATTCAAGGGAGATGGTGACCGTTTCCGTGACAAGCTTCGTTGCATGTTACCTGCTGCAAATTCTTCATGTCCATACGGATAGTCGTCTCTATCCATCCTTGACATAATTGCCGAACCGTTCGATGGATTCCTCGTCATAGAATGAGATGAAGCAGTTCGTGTCATTCCGGGTGAGTTGTGTTTGCCTGACAACGAACTCCGGGGTGACGTGTTTGGCGTATCGCGAGGAGATGCTTTACCATTGGAAAGTGGCCCACATGGAGGTGTATCGGCTAGACCGACTATGTCGGCAAGGTCTTGATCGACGAGTATTATTTCACCATTGTCGTCGACTTCAATTCCTTCATCGACTATTTTGTCACGAACAGTAGATTTTATTGCCTCGATTTGGCTCTAAAGATATGAGGGGGAGGAAGAGGGTTAGAATAATTGAAGCAATAAGAAGTGAAAGATAAAGTAAAAAGATTATCGTGTGGGGTACATGCCTTGTATCTAGCCGCGCTATCATAGTCTTCATCTCTGACAACTTGCTTTTTCAAAGCATCCAGTTTCATGACTTCTTCTGCGCCCTTTTCCATAATCGTCATTGAGGTCTTTAAAATCTTGGCAAAGTAGAAATCTTCAACTACAAATTTAAACAAGATCTTTTAGTAGCTGTAATACACAACAAAGTCGCCATTCTATATCTCGGGCAATCACCCGTATTTACCTTTCACGGCTGTCTCTTTGGCCCTGGTAAAAGCCTCCAACAATTTTGTCGTCTCTTCCGCATTTTGTAAAAAGTTTGAATTATGGAATGGATTACCATCTTCAAAGTTGATACCTTCTTCTTTGGGTAAGTCCGAGAGTGTGGGAGACGGAGGAACAGAGGCTTGCGCGTCTGTTGGTATAGAAAGAATTATAGGAACTACACATGATTCAGGCGATGCTACACGGGATGAAGGATCATCATCCGCATTCTAAACGTGAACGGAGGGGAAGGTACATGTTAGAATAAATGTGAAAAAAAAAAGAAAAGAAACAATAGTCTCGAGATATTATTGTCGCATAAATGTTTACCTCGATTGGGATGATTCTACTTTCGCCATCGAGACAGTCGTCTACTCTCTCACCCATAAGTGTAATACCAACAACTCCAACCTGTTGAATTAATTGTATCGTTAGTTACATAAAGCTTGATAAAACAACACAGTTCTCCTTATCAACTTTTCCCTACCTGATTGTATTGATTGAAGCGGTTTGAATAAAACCGTCTTGCAACGAGTCTGATGTATTCCCCGGTAGCATCCAATCGAACCGATTTCAGCTCTCGTGCTTTGTAATTCGCCCGTTCGTTGTTATCCAATGCACAGTATCTATATAGAAAATCGGAATGTTAATTTTCATATGATTACTTAAATAGTAAAAAAAGGGGTGCATTCATAACGTAGATCGTTTAGTTAATTTTGGAAAGGCGGTATAAACAGTTCTATTTATGGTAATAAAAAGGCGGGCGCCCGTTGATCGTTTGTATGGAAATTTATAACGTGTTACAGAAATGATATGACATATAGCGCCATAAACCATATATGGTCACATCTTTTTTCCATGTGATATTACTTGATACATTTTTTTGGTTCTTTGTCCCGAAAAAAGAAAACCACCAAAGATCCCAACACGGGCTTTTTCTTTATTTTACGTACCCGAGTCTCCTAAAGTGAATGTAAGGAGCATCAGCCATTCTCACGATATGATACTCCTCCTCTTCGTCATCTCTTCCTTGGCTAATTCCTTCACCATCAGAGTCATTGTCCACGATCTTGGGCATTTGATCCCAAGACAGCTCTTCTCTTGACAACTCGGTTTGCGTTTGTTGATCATCGTTGATGATAATTGGTTCGTCTGATTCGATAGTGGTAGTGGTAGTGGTAGTGGTAATGGAAGCGGTAGTGGCAGTTGCATCAGCAACGGTCGCATTGTTGTCCTCTTTGAATGTGTTTTGTGGTGATGATACCATTTCTTTTCTTCGCTGAATTGCGCCAACGTATATGTCTAGTTTCTGCGCTATTTTGTAATGGTGGGAGAGTATTTGGAGTTTGCGTATTCTGGCTGGACCGTTACGTATGCGGAGTATTATTTCTTGTGGATATGTACAGAATCTATTAAGAAACAATGGAATAGTTGAGGAGTTTGAATTTGATTTTTGGAAATGAATCGAACATTGGGTAGTTTTTGTTCTTGGACAAAACGAGTCAATAAATAGGTTTGGTAATAATATTGATTTGAATTCTAATGTCGTGCAAAACTCTTAATTAAACTTTTCAATTCACCATGTTCAGCAACATGGCAGCATGGCTAGTAGTAATCCATGCGATTCTCTTTTCACTGTCTTGGTTGCAAGTGCACACAGACCACACACATACCTTGGTGACTGCCATCCCTTTCCATGCTTGACGGTGTTATTACCATCGCTTATTTTATCTTTTGGTACCAATTGCTCTGGTGGGTAGTTATCGTCCCAACCAGTCGCATGAATAATCTCGAATTCGAGGTGTTGTAAAGACATTATTATTGCTTTTAAGTTGTAGTTGGAAAGTCCTTGTGAGGAAAAGTAGTTGTAATGTCGATAGTTATTTGTCGCTGTCTACTATTGTAATGTGTTAATAGTGTATATAGTATTTGCTTTATATATAAATATTAAAATATTCTTTTTTTTTTATCTCCCGTTGTTGTTTTCTATATTATTACTTGTAAGTTCTTTTGTCGCTATGCTAACTTCGTCAAGAGTAGCAGCAGCAACAGCAACGGCAAACAAGAAGGGTTTTTGTTTAGAATAGAGTAGGGTTTGCAAAAGTGCCGAGTTGGTTGAAAGGTGAAAAGAGTGGCGATTTTTGCTTGTATATATGTGATAGATTGTACATATGTTATGTGTATTATAGTATATTAATTTATATGTAATTGTATTATGTTTGATGAAAGGGCGGCAATTAAGATGATTTCTTTATAGATGGTAGGGAAAAAGCGAGGGATTGCAGTGTTACTTGTCCCACTTTGTGTATTGCGATGGACAAACCGCTCACGATTGGTTGACAGTCAGCAAGCCGAATACATAATAATTGTTGTATCAATGTAAAAATATACAGTCCATTTGATGTTTCAATAGTAAATTATACAAGATTCTATTTCAAATGATTCTCAACGCCGATGTGGTCGTACAGCGCGTGTCAAGTGATGAATGATTTGAATGGGGGGAAAATGTCACAATGTATAGAATTCCGTGTGAGGTATTATAGGAATATAGGAAATGAAAGGTAAAGTAGTGAGCATATAGTCATTGTGCTTATTATATATACAGTCTAATCGGTTATTGTGGATGTTTTCTTTGCATTATGGCTTTGAACTATACTCTGCAAGAATTGGTGTGAACAATATTAACAGCCAATGGTTAAAAGAAAGTGGGCGTACTGCGATTCGTTCATTGGAGATAATTCAATTGAATCTGATTAGTCCACTGTCAACATGTACAACGAATATGTAACTGGAAATATTTATAATACGTACAGTGTATATTAATATATATGAATGTGTTTATATTAGGTTTATAAAAAAAAAGTGACTACGGCGGTATACTAATACGCTTTTTGTTCAAGACCCCCCACCCCCTTCAAAGCGATCGTGTGCACAGTGATATACCAAACAAGTCACTTGAATATCAACACCCGAGACAGATTAATATGACAATGAATTGCGCCTTGGGACAATAGAGAAACGGCGCAGTGCACATGAGAATGGCAGTTGCAGCGCATGGGAATGAGGTAAAAGGAGTTACAGCGCAGTCTACATACGTAATAAATGACAGCAAACTATTATTATTATCATGAGAAGAAAGAAAGTTGCAGGTGCACTGCACAATAATTCTTTGACAATGTTATTTAGCGCTCATTCACAGAGCATTCTATTTTCATGTTTCATAGTCTGTTCCAACATCTATTGTCTATGCATTCAATATGTCTACTTTTGGAGGAGACTGCTTTTGTGTACGGCGATGCTGCAGCAACGAGACTTTGGACAATTTCTTCACTTAAAATATACAATTGGTAATTATTATGTATGCATAATGTAATATATTACCATATCATTTGCCACCTATTAAATCAATTATTATATATTATTAACCATTCTTATCATGTACTGTGACTTAATATTAGTATTCTCCCTGATACTCCCTCTCTTACTGATAGTACCCTTGCATTTGACACTTGTCTCTGATAGGTTTGCACCTTCCTATCAGGTGGGGCGTGACCAGATTGAGTGAGCATCGAAATCAGTTGTGGCTTTTCGATATTGAAGATGGCCCTGCCGCATAAGCATGGCACACTGTTATCCCGCCATCCCTTAAAGTAGACATTTGAATTGCGAATGCTTTTTTTCTGTTTGTCGCTTTAAAAATGCTTGCATTACCCTACTATCCTATTAACGACATTCCCGTTGGCTTTTCTTCTTTAACACGCAGAGTCATTCCCTTTCTTGTGTAAACGGAACTCTATTCTTTTTTTTTTTTTTTTCTTTTTTTTTCTTTTTGCAATGCAATGGATGGGAAGATGTGATCGTTACACAATCAGATATCTTATCATGTGACAAGTTCGCTTCTGGGCTAAACTTGTTTGGACCTGCACTGATAACGTTTTATTGGAGGGGTTTGCAAAGTCCATTTATATGTTTGAGTTGACGTAAAAGAAAATTCATGTGTGACGGAGATTCGTTCAATATTTCAAAATCAGTTAGAAATTTTTGCATTCTTTGTCGTAAGAAGGTTTCACTAGTACTAGTACGAGTATTACCTCTACCACTTCCCGCATTCTCTCTCCCACAAATCAGGCAATCTCCACATTGTAACACAATAGTAATCTGTCAACGGTCACCTGTCAAAATATTTCATAACAATAACAACAAATCTATTAAGACTTGGCGCATTGAGGGTGGTGGGGGGAATGTTTAGATATTGGAACGTCAATAGATATGTAATGAAAATCTAAACATCCACCAGACCACCAACTACTTAATTTTTTTTTCCCGCCCAATTGACAAAAAAAAACAATAACAAAAACATTTGGGGGGGGCAAGGATTAACATTGGGGCAAGGATGGTGATACGGTTTTACACTGGGAAAAAAAAGGCGGGTGGGAGAGAAAAAGAATGCCGATAATGCTAACAGATAATGCTAAAAGTTTAGTGGATGTTGAATGGTATGAGAACAGATATCACAGATCATCAATCTATTGGAGAAATGTCTCTGGACCCGTATTGTACTTGAAAACTTATTTCGCATTAAAGTTTGCTCAATTGTAATACATTGACCATGTTGGGTTTTATACTACTTGTTTGAGATAACGATATTGGGTCCAGATCTTGTACAACGACCACAATGTCAAAAGTATAAGTACAACTTTATAAAGTGGGAGGGAAACAAAGATATTCATTTATCTATAAATGGAAGGTTATCCATCTGTTAGTTTCCAAAGTAGCGGAGACATTAAATAAAGTTCAATATATTGTTTACTGCTATTGTTGATGGTGTTGTAGTAGTAGTAGTTGATGATGGTTATTACTGTTGTTCTGGTGTTTTTTTTATTGGTTTATATTATTGTTATTAGTATTAGTATTATTGTTACTATTATTATTGATATCTTATTATCATCGTTATTGTTGTTGTTGTTGCTGTTGCTGTTGTTGTTGTTGTTGTTGTTGATATTATTATTATTACCATTACCATTTATTATTCTACCTGACTCTTGCTTATCTCTTCTTGTTTGTGCAGAAAGTTTTGTTGGGGAAAAATGCAAGATTATCGTATCGTATTACCTGTCTTAAAAACATGATAAAGTTAACCTCGTTGTAAAGTAAAGATTATTCGTATACAAGGGGTGATTATACACAATGTTCTCATTTGCGGATTGGTCCAATAAAGCAATAGGAATAGGGAATCATAATTAACCCCATGCATATGTGTGGAAATTCTTTTTTAACAGCGCACAGTTTGTCATTCTCACGTGACTATTATGTGAACAAAGACTTTTAACTTTTAACCATAAGAAACAAACACCGTTCGAAACGGAACTTTTGTTATTAAATTGGAAATGTTGATCCGAGATTATATAACCTTTGTAATAGCTTAAGCCTACTAGAATCGGCGAACAGGATTTACATTGGACATTTTTCTCATTTGACAAATAACGCAGACGGTATTTTGTCTCGCGCGGATCTATTCTGTGCTTTGTGCTTTTGAATTTCATGTCAAATAAAGGGAAAATACGGTACTTCTGAACCCGTGAAATCATTCATGACACCATGTCTTATTTTGTTGTAGGTGCCTACTAATACAGGGTAGTAGCAATTAATTAATATAGTAACGACGGTATGATGACATCATTATCTTAAGATTAGAATAATTAGTATGAACTCAATAGTTTCATATAAATCACGAGATCCATTATGTCTTTGGTCTGAACGTAAAACTACTAAGATGACTGAAGTTGAAGGTGTCTCTTCGTTACATACTTCACTTTTCACCAATTCTTAAAAGTTGCAACACAGACTACTGAACAGGCGAAGTTGTATGTATATTGGAGTCTTGTACTAAGATGCTGAACCTGGGAAATGGTCTGCTACTAAATCTTAAATTATGAACGTGTTTTGCATATTAGTCTCAAATCAATGGATATAATATAATTGAACAAGA